TTTCTCCCAAGAAAAAAACAAAGTGAAAATAAATCCATTCAGATATGCATAGAAGAGAAAGTTTATAATAATTGCAAAAACAAAAAAAATACACCTCTTTTGTTGCTCTTTCTTAGCTTGTCTAATTTACAAGCTATTTTAGTAGTAGTGAAACCAAATGTATCGAATTGTAAAGATGTCCCCAAAGAGGACCTTCCAATTCCTATAAATCATACAAAAGATGGAATAAATCAAAAGGAATGATAAAATAGATATTAACTTTTCAACCACCAATCAAATAGACACACTCCCAAGTTGATTGCATATGTTACATTCACATGTTAGGGGCCATTTGGTACATAGAATGAATTAGGATGGAAAACACGGTATAGAAAAAGTAACTTTTTAGCTAGTGAGATTCAAAATGAGAAAGATAAATAATTATAAAGTTAAATTCTATCTTGTATGAGCAATGAGAGTAACATTTTCTTGAGAAATAAAGATTAAATTCTATTTTGTATAACCAATGAGAGTAACATTCTCTAGAGAAATAAAGATTCATTACCCACAATTAATAAAGATTCAAATCTTTTTGAATCATATTGTCCCTAAAAAATTCTTAATTCATACCAAACTTGTTATACCGATCAAACATTGTCAAACACTTAATTTGAAATTTTAAAAATTGTTAGCAGTAAGTTTAGAAAAAAAATAGATAATTATTAATGGCAAACACATTCACAGTTAATGCTCCCTTGAATTTCTCAATTTCCATTTGAAATTTGAAATTGTGGGCGCCTGAATACATTTACACATGAATAAGTGGAACTGAAATGTTATAAGGTAGATGCATATTAAAATAGAATTGACCAATGAGGGAGAGGAATTAACATATGACCAAAGTAGAGTGATTAATGAAAATTACAATTTTACTTTCAAGTTACTATTCACCGACTCCTTATCAAAATTACAATGTAGATATTCCATTTTACTCCTATTCAAGCAAAAACTTTTTGACTCTAGTGTCCTCCTCTATAACTCAAGTTTATAATGAATCTCTTCTTTTGTTTCCGCAATAAGAACTATATCATTCACAAAAAGCATGTATTTAGGAATTTCTTCTTAAATATGCTCAATCAAAATATCTAAGATTACATCAAACAAATAAGGACTTAAAGATAATCTTTGATGTAGTTCAATTTTTATAGAAAAGTCTTTTGTTTCGCCATTAAACATTTTTATACTAATTTATTACCCCCTCATACATGTCTTGTATAGCTTGAATATAGGCAATCTGGACATCCCTCTTTTCCAATGCCTTCCAAAGTACTTCTCTTGGCACACGATCATAAGCTTTTTTTAAATCAATGAAAATCATATGTAAATCTTTACTTTTACATCGATACTTTTTCATTAATTTCTGTAGTAGATAAATCGCTTTTATAATCGTTCTATCTAGCATGAAGCCGAATTAATTCTTAGAAATATCAATTTTCAATTTCAACTTATGCTCAATCATTCTTGTCCATAATTTTATAGTAAAAGACAAGGTCTTATTAAGTTTCAAACGAACAAAATATGTCATAAATGGTTATAAATTGAAATCCAAAGTATATAAAAGACAAGGTCTTAAGGTCATGGCAAATGAAAAAAATATGACATTAGACATGCACAAGTCATGAGGTATAAAAGGAAGAGCCCAAAGACTCCTCTTCTAATGCCTTTTATTGTGATCCATCGAAACTCTCACTTGAAATGTGAAGAGGTAACAGTTAAAATTTAACATCTCATTAACACACATGATTATTCTAACCTATATCGGCAAATCCTTTTAAAACCAGTTTCACAATTAATATGTATAATTTTCTCAACTAAGTTCACAATCTCTTTCACAATGACAGGAGTACATTTTTCCAAACATAAGTATACAAATTTAAAGTAAACAAACTAAACAATCAACATTGATGCTTAGAGCCTGACCTTCACTATCCCTCGTTTTCCAACCTTTATTGTCGACTAAGGTGAATGGCTGACAATTAGTCTAATAGAGTCAGATTTAGATCATGAAAAAGTTGACCCAAGGAAGTATACCCTGTCAAAAGTATACAATCCAAGTGCGGACTATGACTCCCCTCCTTATACAAATAAACTAGGAGGTGTTCCAAACAAGTCTCACATTCCCATTACAATCCTAGCCAAAGAAAAGCATGTAGAATGGCCCTGCAAATACCACCTAATGTGCCCTTAGCGGTGGCTAGCCAAGTGATCAACAAAACATACAAATTTCAACAATACCCACCATCGCTACAATCCAACCTTACTTCCTACAAAGCAAAGTGAATACCCACTTCTCTATCCTTGAGATACTTGTTCCTCTTAAAGGCAGATGCTTCCTATCTTGCTCAGCTTTAGATCTGCGCATATGCTTTGTACAAGCTTTGAGATTTTCTTCCTCTTTATTGTCGTTTTCATATTTTTTTATGCTTTGTACAAGTCTTCACATTGCTTATGTTTTCACTACCAAGGACTTGTTTGGGTAACCTTTAAAAGTATGTCCAAACCACATTTAGGATGTGCTTTTATCAGATCTAACAAATAATTGAATTTCCTAAATATATTTTTGCTAAATGTAAATAAAAATTCAAACATACACTAAGTCTTTCATTGGGTTTTCTTTTCTTTTTTCTCTTTCGTTGCCACCCACCTAAGCAGCAACTAATGCCATCAACTCCAGAGTAATAGATTTTAGGGAAATACAATAATAGATAGTTATACTTTGATTACGATTTGTTTTTAATCCCTAAATTTTATTATTCTTAATTCCTCTAATTTGATCCATCTGCAATATTAATCATTATAATTTTAAAAAATACACATAAAGACTATGAGTTAGTGCTGAGAAAGTTAGTTTCATTACACGTATTTAACTTTATCAATGAGACATCTGATGAATGCATCCTGTTTTGTCTTTCGATGAATAAAACTTTTGGACAAATGCATTATTTGCCCTACCCACATTCGCATTCCTCTTTCACATTTTGTTTGAAGCCAGATATAAAAGAATTTAATTAGACCTGGTCAATTTATTTTCATATCGACATATCTTTGTTATGTCAGTAAAAAGGTTAATAGAGTTAAGTATATCATATGTGAGTGAAATTAACTCCATAAGTGTTACATCATGGTTTTTACGTGTATTTATTGAAGTTATGGAAGCTAACATTAGATATATATCAAATTAAAGGGAATTTTTTTAAAGGAAAATGATAATTAGGAATCTTGTAAAGACGTTAATGATAATTGAAGACCTCAAAATATTAAAATATTAGAAAAAGGTCATGATTTTTATTTGTAATTGCAATGTTTTTAATTGTTGAAATAACCAATAAAAGATCACTCATGAATAGGGAAAGTTAGTGGTGAATTTAAAAAAAGATCACTTATGAATATATGTAAAATTAATTGTAAATGAATAAATACATTTATAAATATATACAACATTTTTTTTGCCAGAATGAATATATACATCATTATTTGCAAATTTACGAAGAATTACTTGTAAATTTTTGAAAAATTACTTGTTAATATATAAAAAGTTAGCTGTAAATAATAAAAAATATGAGAGAGTCCCTAAATCATTTATTTACAATTAAAGAATATTTATATTCATTCACAATTGATGTTTTATACTCCCTCTATTCAAAAACATAAGGCATTTTTTGAAGAGTTGGATGTTCAAAAATATAAGACATTTTTAGTCTTTCAAGGTGTAATTATTGCTTTTTTTCAAAAGTGCCCCTATTGATAATGACTTTATATTTATTTTATGGTGTTTAATAAGAGTAAATATGAAAAGATAGATTTTGTTGAAAAGTAAGTAACTACTTTATTGGGAGTGAGATTTAGTTAAAAATATTTTATATTTTTGAATGAAGGGAGTATATTTATAAGTAACATTTCATAAATTCATAATTGACTATTCTTAAATCATGCATAATTTCATGAGACTATCTATTTATTCATAACTAAAGTTTTATAAATTCACTATTGATATTTTTAAAATTTACAAGTGAATATGCTCAAATTTATTAGTAACAATACATAAATTTATAAAATTATTTATTCATTCACAATTGATTTTTCATTGATTCATAAGTTACATTCTATTAGTTATTTTAATAATTATTTATTTTAATTATAAATAAAGACCATGGTCTTTCCTTGACATTTCAATATGCAAGGTTTTCATTATCATTAATATTTTTAGAAGATCCTTAATTGTCATTTTCTTTTTTTGTGTGAAAATTAAAGGAATTAGAATAATAAATAAACTTTTGCTTTTAAAAAAAGAATAACTAATAAATTATCAATAAGATTGGGTTTAGTGGAGAGATTAGCCTTTCACAACATGGCAAATTAAAATTAAAATTTAAAAAAACTAATTTTTTAATCCCTTATTTATAACTCAGTTTTTTAATTATGATTTATTGTGACTCAATTCTTCAACTATAATTTGTTGCAATTCAATCTCTCAAATTTTGACTTACTTATAACTTGGTCCTAATTTTTCAAATTTTTTTAAAAAATTATCCTTGTCAAATAATAGAGATAAAATAAATGCTCATATCTTACTCTAAAATATCATTTTCTTATTCTTTGATGTGGGATTTAAGCTAATATAAAAAAAAAGAACTAACAAAAGTTGAGAGATTGATTTATAAACGAGTCAAAAGTTTAAAAGTAGAGAAACTAAGTTACAATAAATCATAATTGAACTACAAGTGAGTTAAAAAATTAAATGATTAAAAAAGTAAATTTTTATTAATATTGGCATCACATTTCATGCCTAACCTTATTTTAAACAAAACTGCGATTTAATGAGAGCATTTATAAGTAAAAAAAAAAATAGAAACGAAAGAAAAAGGCAATAAAAAAAAAAGACTAATATCTTTTTTTTCATATGTACATATACAAATATTGTAAACGCATCGTAAGTTTCTTTTCTTCTGACCGGGAGTAATAAAATCAGACAAAATCACCGTTTGATTTCTCGCAGAAACCCCAAAGAAAGGAGCCATATGTATTCTCATGGAACCCGGTAGTAAGTGATAAACGAACCCACCGCAACGCGAAAATAGGTAGTGATTCCCCCATTGCTGACACAACTGAGACTGGGAAGATACGAGCGAAGAGCCAATATTACACACACACACAGTAGTTCTTCACACTCTCTCTCACACACATTTTCTCAGATCGGATCGACTCCATCCGAATTCATTCATACAATTTTCAACTCTTAGATCCACCCTCTTTCTTTATACACACACTTGAATTTGGGATTTAATTTTGCATAATTTGGCTCCCCGATTCGAATGGCGTGCATAAAAGGGGTAAATCGATCGGCATCCGTGGCTCTGGCACCGGAGGCACCGTACATGGCGGCCGGAACCATGGCGGGGGCAGTTGATATGTCCTTTAGCTCTTCTGCTAATCTCGAAATATTCAACCTTGATTTCCAGTCCGACGATCAGGAACTGCCCTTGGTCGGGGAGTGCACGAGCTCCGAGCGGTTCAATCGTCTGTCCTGGGGAAAGAGTAGTTCTGCCTCTGAAGGTTTCTCTCTTGGGCTCGTTGCTGGTGGGCTGGTGGATGGAAATATTGGCCTCTGGAATCCTCTCACCCTGATCCGGTAATTGGGTTTTGCTCTTTTTTTTTTTGTTTTTTTGTTTCTTTTTTTTCACCTTGGATCTCTGAGAATGAATGTGTCTGGGGTGGTGTGAGTTCTGTGTGAATGGAGACCTACTGGGAATGTGGTTCAACTGAGTGAATTTGGAACTCCCAGAACTTCGTTGCGACTGAATTGTTTTAAGGGATTTTGACTAGTTCGACTAACTTCTAGATGGAGGGTGCTGAATGGTTTTGTTTCAGCAATTCAGGAAATTGAGTAGGAGAAATTTTTTTTTTTTTTATGTAGGAGAAAGTTTTATTATTAGAAAGCATAATTTAGTATAAATTAAAATCTTTCTAACATTCCTTCTCTGTTCGATACTATCAGTCAATATTCGATTGTTTGTTTACTTTATTGTTTGCTTTTGAAGCGTAGGGGTTGTGCAATGTTAAGAATTATTCATCAACATGGTGAATGGGTTTGGTAGTCTCTTTGTCTAGCAAAATTATAGGGGAGTGTAGGAGGCATAGGTTGCTGATATAACATGCAGAACTGGAGGGCACTAGTTGTTTTACTGGAAGCAAGCAAGTGGATGATTGTCTGTTGTCAGTCAATTGATGAATGTTGGAGATGATGATCTCTTATAGGCACCCTATCTAATGATAACTCAAGGTTCACTTCCATTCAGATCATTGTAGTGCTGTTGTCATGTAAATAGAGCAATACATGCATTGCCTATAAGGGAAGCAAGTATTTCATTTTTTCTAGCCTGTAGTCTTTCTTTCATGTCTTTTTAAAGTGTTGGTAAAAATTCAGTATTTCTGAGTTATGAATCCACATGCAAATCCCTTCTTTGTCTTTTCAAATAATTTATTAAATTGATTTATTTGCTCAGTTCGGAGGTAAAAGAAAGTGCTTTTCTTCAGCATCTTCTGAGGCATAAAGGGCCAGTAAGTTTTCTTTTGCTGATATGAGCAAGCCTTCAGTTTATTATTGCTCTTTGTTCTCTGGAATGTATGATGCATGCTTGACCTTTAAAATCCTACCACTTGCTTTCATATTGTAGGTCCGTGGTCTCGAGTTTAATACCATTGCCCCCAATCTTCTTGCATCTGGGGCTGATGATGGTGAAATTTGCATTTGGGATTTGGCCAATCCTTCAGAGCCATCTCATTTTCCACCTCTCAGGGTCAGATATCCTCCTTCTGAGTGCGCGTGTGTCTCTCTCTGTGTTTGTTTGATGTTACTCTTTTTTGACTGATAAATCTGTTTTCTAAAAGTGTTTGTCTTTCTAATTTATTTATTTTTTCAGTATTTTTAAATCAATATATACTATCATTTTGCAGGGTACTGGCTCTGCTTCCCAGGGTGAAATTTCATTCTTATCTTGGAATAGCAAAGTCCAACACATATTAGCATCAACTTCATATAATGGGACCACTGGTGAGGAAGAAATTGTGTCACACTTCTCTACTCTGTTCTCAAACTTGTACTGTTTGGAATACTATTTTTTTTTTTTTAAAATTCTTTGCAGTTGTCTGGGACCTAAGGAAGCAAAAGCCGGTGATAAGGTAACTTACTTTCTTTACTTGGGTTGGTCATCTTTTGCTTGTAAATATAAAGAAGTCTGATATTATATATTGGAAAAAATTTATGATAACCTGGTGTATTGTCTTTGAAATCATAGCTTTGCAGATTCTGTTAAAAGACGATGTTCAGTTTTGCAGTGGAATCCTGATTTTGCCACTGAGCTAGTTGTTGCATCAGATGAAGATGGTTCTCCTGCTGTGAGGGTATAGACTTTACAGATAAATTGTCTTTATCTAATTTTTTTTGTACGTGTTGAGCTCATGAAATTGAACATTTTGATGCAGCTTTGGGATATGAGGAATATAATGGCACCAATTAAAGAGTTTGTGGGACACAGCAGAGGTACTTACACTTGTATTATCATCTTTTTTTGTTCTTTTAACTACTTTTGATATTCCATAGCCATCATTTGGTTGCCTCTATCATTATGTTTACTAGCATTTAGCTTTTATTGTGAAGCTATGCATTATATGCCATCACTTTAAAGTGATGTTCTTTTGTTTTCTGAATCTTAGGTGTAATTGCAATGTCTTGGTGTCCCTATGATAGCTATTATTTAGTTACCTCTGCCAAAGATAGTCGTACCATATGCTGGGACACAACTTCTGGAGAGGTGTTGTTTAGCCTTCTGCTCTCACCTGCAAGTTTGGAAGTTATCCTCTAGGTTGAATTATTTTTATGTAAGAAATTTTGTTGTGTAGTGACGTTTTTCTGGGTTTTAGATTGTACGTGAATTGCCTGCTGGGACCAACTGGAATTTTGATGTGCATTGGTATTCTAAAATACCTGGAGTAATTTCAGCATCTTCCTTTGATGGAAAAATTGGCTTCTACAATGTTGAGGTAAATACCTGTGATTTTGATGGTCGTTATAAGTGATGAATTTTGACTGTCCTTTAAATTTGATGTAGTTCTTTTTTCAGAAAGTGTGGGATTTGATGAAGTGAGATGGAAAATGAGTAGATAAGTGATGTCTGCGTCTTTACATGCTCTATTGATATTACCGTTGATTATAACTATAGTAGATAGTAGTCATTTTGGTCTTTGTCAAAGCCATGTCTAATAATGCATATATGGACGGGACCTTTTCCCCCTTACTTGTGTAACTTTTGATATATTAATAAAATTGTATTTCAAAAATAAACAAGAAAAGTTAAAGGGGCCAAAATATATTATCCATGCTTAATGTGGAGATGCGATTAATGGAGCTTGTTTCTGATTTCTTATTAGGGACAGATATTATCCATTCTTTTTGGATTTTCTTGCTGGAGGTCTCTTTATTCTCCATATTATTAATTTTAATATATGTAATTATTTGCAGGGCTGCAGTCGGCATGATGCTGGGCAAAATGATTTTGGGACAGGTGACACTTTTCTAGCTGCGAAAGAACTTACCCGCATCTACTGTTCATTACTTTTCTTAATTTGTCACTTGTATTTGACAAGCACAAACAAAACTCTGTGCAACTCATCTTTTAAGCCTTCTTCTTCTTCTTCTTCTTCTTTTGGGATAAGAAGGGTTTGGTGTGCCAGACATGGCTTTCTCTTCTTTTAATATACCTTGGTCTCATATGCTAGTTTTGGGATTTATTATTTTCTTGTCTTGGCAGTATCTCTAAGAGCTCCAAAATGGTACAAACGCCCAGTTGGGGTGTCTTTTGGTTTTGGTGGCAAGCTTGTATCATTTAATACCAAGTCATCTGCCACAAATGCTCCTGCTGGGCCTTCAGAGGTATTCTTTTATTACTGGAAAGCCCCTATCTTAGTTCCTTAAGTTTTCAAAAATTTATTTTATTTTTTCATTTTATTATTTTCCAGGTTTATGTGCATAATATGGTTACTGAACAAAGTCTAGCGAGTCGTTCCTCTGAATTTGAAGCCGCAATACATAATGGGGAAAGGTCTTTGCTGAGGGTTTTATGTGACAAGAAGTTTCAGGAATCAGAGTATGTTCTCCTAAAGAAGAGCAATATATTGTGATGTTTGTTTTGATGCCTTCTGCCTAGGACAGTAGGACATTTGCATCTGTTGATTCCTGTCATTGCTGTGACAGATCTGATGAAGAAAGAGAAACATGGGGCTTCTTAAAGGTTATGTTTGAAGATGATGGGACAGCACGAACGAAGCTGCTTGCACACCTTGGTTTTACTGTACCTATTGAAGAAAAAGACACAGCTGTAGATGATCTTGCACAAGAAGTCAGTGCTATTGGACTTGATGAGACAGCTGTTGATAAAGTAGGACTTGGGCCTGAAAATGAATCTACTGCTTTCCCAGATACTGGGGAGGATTTCTTTAACAATCTTCCTAGTCCGAAAGCTGATACACCCGTATCTACTTCTGGGGGTAATGTGGATTATGCCAATGGTTTGGACAAAACCCAAGAAGAGATAGAAGTAGAGGAGAGTAATGACCCTACATTTGATGATAGTGTTCAGCGTGCATTAGTTGTTGGGGACTACAAAGGGGCAGTTACGCAATGCATATCTGCAAATAAGTGGGCTGATGCTCTAGTTATTGCTCATGTAGGTAGTGCTTCACTATGGGAGAGTACACGAGACCAATACCTTAAGAGAATCAGATCACCATACTTGAAGGTAGCTGATAATCATGATACATTATATCAATTTCTTGCTACCCACTTTATCGTTTAATATGCCAAATTTCCAGTTTTTAAAATTGTTTCATCAATAAATTTTGTTCACTTTCAGGTTGTGTCTGCAATGGTGAACAAGGATCTCTTAAGCCTTGTGAATACCAGGCCTCTAAAATTTTGGAAAGAAACTCTTGCTCTTCTTTGTAGTGTAAGTTTTTTTTTCCCTTTTTATAATTTTGAATTTGGAATAGATTCATCTGCAAAAAGCTTCTATATCAGTGATAAAACTTAAATCCTCAAGCATGTACTATTTAAGATATCACTTGTTTCATTGAACACCTACCTGGGTTATGATGGCTTCTGTCTAGCCTTCTGGTTCAGTGTTAAAGTGGTTTGCATGTGGTGTTTGAGAATATCAAATGTAATAGAAAAATAATTTCCTTATGAACTATTCCTGTAGTTGTTTTTGTCAAGTATTTCCATCAATTTGCTCTCCTTTTGGGATTATGGTAGTGGATAAGGTCTAGAGAATTGTGAAATTTATGAGGAACCTCCTCTGGTCATGCGTGACAGATAATAAGAGGGATCATCTTATCAGTTGGGAATTGCGAGGTTTCCTGTAGGAAAAGAAAGGAGTTGAGGTCATGGTTGTCTGGTCCAGTGCATTGAAAACATTATTCTCGCTGCAAAATGGATGTGACCTTGTGGCTCCTTCTTCTTGGCATCCAGTAATCTAGCGTGTGATGTAGATCCTAATGGGTGGAATGCCAAGTGCCAACAGAATGCTACAGACCTCTTGCAAATTATTGAAATTTCTTTCTCAAGGGTAATCTTCTCGTCTCAGGTTTCTTGAAGTTCTGCTACCAGCGCCCATGTCAGATTCTGAGTGGGGCTGGGAAATATCCTTTCTTTAGATTCCTGGATGATGAGGGAAATAATGAGTTTCTGATCTTTTTCCTTCGCTTGAGTGTTCTTGTATTCCATATATTTTTATTTCCTTACGCTTTCTCCTCATTGCAAGAGCCTTCTAATATGCCCATTTGGAACCCTAAAAGCTTCTTCTAAGGTTAGGACTTTTAAGTTGAAGGTTTTGGGATCAGTAGCTTGGGTTTCTTGGAGCGCTGTGTTTTAATAACTAGGAGGGGTCTCTCTTGATTGACTTTAAGGTGGCATTTGTCAAGTGATCCTTTTAGGCCTTGTTTGGTTCATAGGAATTTGGGCTCAAGAAAAGGAAAAGGAGGAGGAAAGAGAAACTTCTCTAGTTTGGTTAGGAGGAATTTAGCTTATTGGGAATCAAATTTCAGGAGAGAGAATGGAAATTGGGTTCCAAGCCTTTGGCCAAGGAAAATTTTATTTTCCTAGGAAATTTTTTTCTCTTGACCCAAATACCCACTTGTCATTCTTCCTAATCTAGCAACCAAGTGTCCTCATCATCCATCGGCACTCCTCATCGTCGCCCTCATCATTGTCTTTTATGGAGAGCACTGTGATTGTAGCTGAAGTGGGATGGCTGTGGGGTTAGGTTTGTTCGTTTGGGTTTCGAAGTAGAAGAAGATTGTGGAAAAGGCTGTGGGTTTGGGTTTGATAGCGCGAGGATTCAAGGAATAAGATCTATGAACATTGAAGCTGTGGGGTTTGGGTTCAAGTTTGAAGGTCTGGGCTTTGAAGAAGAATACGCCTAAGGCCCTGCTTCGTGATTGGTTTGAAGAAGAAGAATACATTAAACTTCTCCAGATTTAAGAATTCATACATTATTTCTTGATTTTGTTGCATGATTTAAAATTGTTGATTGACTAAAAGTTTACATGGTTTTACAGTCTTCATTGTTGATTCTGAGTTAAGTCGCGGCTGATAACCAGGGAGGAAGAGGGCAAAATAGTGTGAAAGTGAATGAGGACAGTATTGTCTTTTTATATTTTAAAATTAATTTAATGAATATAATTAAAAAAAATTTCCGCCCATTTTTTTTTTATGCCAAACATATTTCTAAATCCAATTCTTTTTCTTTTTCCAGTTTCAATTCTATTTCTATTTCCAATTCCATTTCTATCAAAATGATTACAGCAAAGCAAATGAGGCCTTAATGTCCCAAGAACTTTGAAATCTTCTAGGTATTTTGGAATGATATTAAAAATCTAGAATGCACATATTTGTTAGCTTAAGTGACATTCAGATGTCAAATTTTCCATATTTTTATATTCTCAAATGTGATAGAAGTGCTACAGAAAAGATAGAAGTGCTACAGAAAATGCATTGCTGAAATGGGTCTCCATATTTTGGAACATTAGGATGGCCTGTTGCCAAATGCTAAGCTAAATGTTTTGGCAATAAAAAGGAGAGTAACCTTTGTCAGAATGTGTGGTTTATGTGATTTTTTGGCATATATAATTGGAGAAATGCCTGCATAACCAAGGGCATCTCTTTGCCCTTACAAATGCCATGGAGGATTTGTTTATGGCTTTATTTTGGCGCTCACGTCATGGGTGTTTAGAGGGAATTGCTGATCTGGTATGCAGAATGCATTTCTGAACTTTTTGGACCTGCTTTCCCAATGACAATGATCCCTCTGCCTCTTCAATTTGGTTTACGGTTTTTTGTGATATTTTTTATTCTTCTCCCAAGTTGTTCTCAATTTATTCTTGCGTAATATATTTTATCAGAAATAATGTCATGAGGATAGCAGAATTTCCTGATGCAAGATGAGGTCACTTTTGATCTCTCTCATTCTGGCGCAGTGTCAACTAAAATTCTCAAACTGGAATTTCTTAGTAGCATAAATAGGAAACTCCAGGCAGGAAATAAGTTTGATTATGAAGTTATTTTCTCTGTTGCTTACACTTATGTTTGTTCTATTTTGACCTATTAACCTATTAACAGTTTGCTCAGAGAGATGAATGGACAATGCTTTGTGACACACTTGCTTCAAAACTCAAGGAAACTGGAAATACATTAGCTGCAACTCTCTGTTATATATGTGCTGGCAATATTGACAAAACACTTGAAATTTGGTCAAAGAATCTGCAAACTGAGCATGAAGGAAGATCATATGTTGATGTTCTCCAGGTAAATTGATGTGCATGCTGTTACAAATTTGATATGCAACTTATACTTATAGATATTGCAGATGTGAAATTGATAAAATCTCATGTTTTTAGGATTTGATGGAAAAAACGATTGTTCTTGCCTTAGCAACTGGGCAGAAGCAATTTAGTGCATCTCTTTGCAAGCTTGTGGAGAAATATGCTGAAATTTTAGCAAGTCAAGGACTGTTGACTACAGCAATGGAGTATATAAAGCTTTTGGGTTCTGCTGAACTGTCACCTGAACTTCTAGTCTTAAAAGATCGGATTTCTCTTTCTACACAACCAGGTAAAGCTTTTTTTCTACACAACCAAGTACAAATGCACTGTTCTGATTGGTATGCTGATGGTGAGAAATTGACTATTCATTGACAGTAGCTTGATGAATGTTTTGACTAATAGCATTTGCACTTTATTTATGAAGTGAGTGAAATTAAAGAGCGGAAATTTATGTTATATCTAAACTTTTAGGTCCAGGACAAAGTTGCTAGGATTGCTATATGCAAATTCTTCCATAGAACAAAGCTTAATAGACGTGTGAGAAAAAATATTTTCTTCTGCAGTAAGAAAGGGATGATATTTCTGTTCCATTTAAGGACATTTCCTTTGTGTCCTTTCTGGTGGTGGTTTAGTCCCCACCTGCCCTTTTTTTTTGGGGTTGGAGGGGGGGTTATTCTTACACCATAGTTCTGGGTTAAGATTTCAGATAATGATTTCATGGTTGGTTTGCAGTCCTAATTTTATCTGTTTCTTCAAATTCCGCTCAATAAAGCAAATGATGTGGGAATAGCCTCTTAGAATATTAGATCACGTGTATTATTTCCGATGAATGTGGAACATGTAATTACCTTGATGATAGAGGATAAATGACTCCCAGTTCAAGTGAACCTGGTACTGTTGGTGGAGGAATATGATCCGTTTTGTTATATTAAAGGATAAGCAAATGTTCATTGGGAAGAGCTCTTTGATGCTTTCTGTTTAATTAGTATTAATACTTGTGTTGTGTTTCTGATGGACTCATAACTTCTAGGATGGACTCATAACTTCTAGGCCTGGGGTGCTGAAGACCTTTGAGGAGGGAATGAAGTGAAAAGATAGTGCAAGGAGGTCTGAAGCTGCATTATCTTCTGATAGGGCAGCCAGATGGGAAGTGGGAAATTGAGTGCTCGTAACTAAATGTCACGTGGGAGAAGAAATGGGGGTAAGAGAGAGAGTAGGTGATTAGTGGGAAATGTATGAGGTCACTCAGAAAAGGGGCCTGACAAGAATGAAGGATGGTTTGGGAGGGATTCTAGTTCCTCACAAGCTAGAAGAACTATTTCTGATATTTCCTTTATTACTTGAGTTCTTGTATCTTTTTCGGTAGCTAACTCCTACGCCTGTCAATTTCTATTTCTAGCTGTTTTGAGGAGGAAATCCTGCTTATCTTGAATAGTACGAGTTATTTGGGTCCCATCAATTTCTCAGCTGTTCAGTTTTTTGCTTTTGCTTTAGCATTTGAAGCTTTCTGAGAACTTCTACTCTTGTTTCTTATTTTTCGTTCCTAATAATAATTTTCAGAGAAAGAAGTCCAGACTACTGTGCTTGAAAATACTCAGCCACAAAGTGGATCATTTTATGGTGCTGATAATTCCAATTATACTAGAAATTATTATCAGGTATTTATTTTCCTTTGTTGTTCTTTGGGATTTATTGTCTTTGCTGCATTTCAAAGATTTTCATTTTAATGTATGTTTGTTGGTCAGGAGTCAGTTTCCCCACAAGTGCGGCATGGTTCTTCTGGAGTTCCATATGATGAAAACTATCAACAGCCTTTTAATCCTTCATATGGAAGAGGATATGCTGGTTCTGCTCCATTTCAGCAACCTCAACAACCTAATTTGTTTGTTCCATCACAGGCACCTCAGGTTCACCAAGCACCTCAGGTATATTTTGTACCACATGCCATCAAAAACAGCAGTTGTAGCCTACTGTTGATTTTTTTAATGATTTAATTGTTTTATTCTGAAAATAAAATGTGAGCCTCTATATTGTTTCATTTGAAGTTACTTTAAAATTTTCTTCAAAAGAAATGTTGATGGATTGTAGACAGAAAGGTGAATTTCTACTAAAATTCATGTGTTCAAGCACTTTTTTTTGGGTCCATATTGTTGAAATTCCCATTGTATTTGTCATGTGAATGTTGCCACTGTATTGAAGGTGTTGAAAGTATTCTAGAATTTTGTTTTGGAGTGTAAAAATACTAACACAATCCTCAAGAAGTACCACAAACCTGATTGCCATTTAAGAATTGGCATTAGGATATGATGTTGATTTTAAATTTGGATGCACTCCATCTCTTCCTGATTTAGATGACTCAGGTTAAGTTTGGATAGTTCGCATTGACTGTTTTCTATTTATATGTTAAAATTGAAAAAGTGAATAAATCAATAAATACATCTAGACCATTAGAATTTAATAGGGACGATCTGGAGGAAAATAAGGAGAGAGGAGATAATTGAAATGGAGAAAAACTGAATTGGTTGATTTTGCTCTTTTCCCTGCAGTTGCTAGAAGTTGTAAAATGCATGACTGTGTAGATTGTGGAGTAATATATTTTCTATGATTTGTTATCGTAAATTAGGCTTTAGTAGCATTTCTTTTATTGTATGTTATTTTAAGCATGTAATTAATATTCACTTGCTTTTATAACAATTTATATGTGATGAAGTCTAGCTCTTTGGTTAGAGCTTTGAGTACTTGCAGTGCTATATTCTGTACACATGGAGTTCATTGTTGTCCTTAAATTTTAATTTGTAGCCAAACTTATCTACTGCTCCTGTCACACAACCTCCTATGAGATCTTTTGTTCCTCACACTCCTCCAGCTCTAAGAAATGTCGAGCAATATCAGCAGCCAACGTTGGGTTCTCAGTTGTATCCTGTCAGTAGATCCTTTCTGTTTCTCATCTTTTTTTAACAGTTATCTGTGGGCTACTAGTTGTATAAACAACATTACTTTTCTATATTTCAGGGAGCTGTCAATCCACCTTACCAACCTACACCCCTTGCCACTTCTCAAATGGGCCTGGTTCATGGCCAGAAGTTGCCACAGGTTGTGGCGCCAACCCCGAGTCCAAGGGGATTCACCCCGGTCTCCAGTTCTGGTGTTGTGCAAAGACCTGGAATTGGATCGATTCAGCCTCCCAGTCCCCCTCAGGCAGCTCCTGCACAGCCAGCTCCAGCACCAGCTGCTCCACCTCCAACTGTGCAAACAGCTGATACTTCAAATGTGCCTGGTAAATTTTATTTTCTCAGCTGGAAATTTTTCATTTATTCTAAAGGATTTACAAGTTTATCTTTGTTTCACTAATCACTAGAACGTGCTGCTAGTTTTTCATTTGATTTGTTAAGCAACATCATCATCTACTACTTTTTTGGTTAGTAAAAGCAGCACCCTGATTTGAAAGAATAAAGTGCACCCATGTGCGGGCATGCATGCATTTGTTTGAGCATATTTAAAGTCTCAAAAAGAATTTATGGCCAGGCATTTTTAAGTTAAGAATGGCTGGGCAATGCTGTATATTCTAATGATTTATTTCTCCCTTTCTAATTGGTTTTCCTGGATCCGTTTTAGTTAGTTCCAGAACCATTGTAATTGAAATTATTGAATGCTTTTCTTTTTTTTAATTTGTTCATTGTTTTCTTAGAGAATGACCTGTACAGCATTTCAAAGAAATAAGAGCTGATTCTGTACTTTTGTCTGAATTTTGTTCAAATTACGTGTATGCAAATAATAGTGCATGCATTTTGTGTTGAGACTAGCTCAAGTCTTGATGTACTGGGCTTTTAGTTGTGTGTGAATCATAACCTTTAGGGAAGTTATGCCTGCTCATTTGTTTCCTTTTCCCCTTGCTGCTTGCCCAATGGACTCTTCTAGCCAATCCATTTTTTCAGATTACTGCTAATGATCTGGCTATTTATTATGTATAATATTACTTTGATAGGCAATGTATTTGTTTTGCTGAACTACTTGATACTGATATTTGTTTTGCTTATAAAGGCATTTGTCTTTCTATATCTTTTGGCAATTTCCTTTTGGTTAACATTTTCCTTGCTTTGACTGGGCCAGTGCACCAAAAGCCCATTGTCGCAACATTGACAAGGCTTTTCAACGAGACATCAGAAGCACTGGGAGGTTCACGTGCAAATCCAGCTAAAAAGCGGGAGATAGAAGACAACTCAAGGAGAATCGGAGGATTATTTGCGAAATTGAACAGTGGGGACATCTCTAAAAATGCCTCAGATAAGCTCCTTCAGCTCTGTCAGGCATTAGACAAAGGCGATTTCAGTACTGCCCTACAAATTCAGGTAAATCAATGGAAGATTAAGCTATTTACTCTACTGATGATGACACCAATCAAATTTACAATGTGGCCTACCTCTGGTGTGTTGCAGGTACTACTTACTACAACCGAATGGGACGAATGCCAGTCCTGGCTCGGTTCGCTGAAGCGAATGATTAAGACAAGGCAGAGTGTGAGATAAATTAAAAGATATCACCGATCCTCGTCCCCTTTCTGTGCCCAATATTGGAAAAATTTTTCACTATGGTCAGCTTCTTGTAGTGCCGCTGACCCCTTCATCCATGTACACAAGACTTGACTTGTATGCTGCAGGTGCAGGGTTTTGGTTCTTTTGCTCTTAGGACAATATAAGCTGTGCCCTCCTCGCTTTCACTGGGTTTATCATTCAGGACATGATCAGAAGTACTTTTAGCGGATTGTTTTTAATCCAATATATGTAACATGAAAGTGTCTTTTTTTGTTTGATTTTACATTTTTGCCTCTGCTTTGAAAGTCATAGATGGTTTAATCTTGCACACATTTTGTACTTTCATTTGATTTAATCCAATCTTTGTAATATGGAAGTGTCGCGTTTGTAGTTATTGATTATTGATTTGGTTGCCAAGGAATTGAATAATGTACTCTTTTTATAGTAACTCATCTAGGTTCTGTTCGTTACAGAGTTTGGAAAGTGAGCAGCACAGTTTATTGCCTTTAAATAGTATGGTCTTTTTCACCAAAATAAAAATAGTGAGTTTTATGATTTTATATTGTATATAAATATAGAGATTGGTTATCAGTTTTTCATTCTTCCCTGGTTTAGGCTTGTTGCTAGGTAAAGAGTAATGTTTAGAATTTTTTTTTTTTTTTTAGACCTGATGTTTAGACTTTAGATGATCTGCGTTATGCAAGTGTAGCAAAAGATAAAATAAGTGAATAGAAAGAGAGTGGGTTATGTGTATGTGTGACTGTGTGAGAGGGAGTGTACTCGCTCTTTTATATTTCTCTTAAAATGTATATATTATTGTGGAAGATCTCAAGCTAAAACCAACAATACTCTTTTTTAGCAAATTAAGGAGCGAGAATTTTATATAAAGATCATGAATGTGATATATTTTTAAATTAAGCTTTATACATTTTAAAATTTCATGGCAAAATGTTAGGCTTAAATTGAAATGACAATACATGACAATGTTCAAAATGTTTTTTTTTAGTATGTAGCAGCCTAACAAGTAATATATGAGAATTAACAAATAAAGCAAAGCATTTAATAAGTAATATAGATGTTAATAATAGAAATCTATGTGACTATTTAAATGTCTGGCTTGTTAAATTGTTATTATAACTTGCCAAAACAATTACATTGCTTGTTAAAAGCTTTACTTTATTTGCTAATTCCTTTTGTTACTTGTTACATTTACTATGTTCACTATACATCACTTCTCCAACCCAATTCTATCTAATATGAGACTTTTCTCACCAAGTTCTTGATGTGGTTTCTAATTTGGTGGGTTTAATTGGTCTTGATGATAAGGTGATTGATTGCATCCTCTTGTTGGGAAATTGAGACAAGTCCAAACTGAATACTCTACTTCCTAGAAACGTGATTAAGGCTCCGACTCGCACTAGGCTTAGACTTGGTTGAAGTAAAGAGTTTTTTTATCTAGAAGCACTCGAGAGATGGAAAGTTTTCTATTGGCCTATTAGGTTTGCATATGATTTTTTACTTGCAGGTGCACCAAGACAATCAACCTTCAATTGGAGACCTATATGGCGATTACAAGTTCTTGAAAAGATGAAATTCCTCCAATGGTTGATGGCACACGGATCTGTCCATACTTGCTAGTCTTCGCCAAAGAAGGGGATTACTTCAATCAAGCTTGTGCCCCCAAAGATGTGCTGATGTAGAGGATGAGATTCACTTATTCAGAAATTGCAAGGAGGCCGAGATCAGGTGGAGACGACTGATATCTCAAAGACATTGGACCGAGTTTAAAAGGGGTAAATTGTTACAATGGCTAACCTGGAACCTGAGCACTAATCTGGGTAATCAACAGACAAAGCAATTTAGTTGAAATATTCTTTTTACATACACATGCTGGGATATCTGGACGTCAAGATGCAATGATACATTCAAGAATGAAGCGAGTAGTCAACAGACCAACGCTGAAACAATCTTATTTAAAGTGGTCCAAGACAAAAAAAATGCTGAACTCTGCTAACTTGTCAAGACACAGACCGTCCTAGCTTTAATCTAGATTCTCATGATCCTATACTTGTGAGATCAGATGTAGCTGGGCAATCAGTTGTATTAAGAAGACAGACCAATGCTGTCGAGAAGTGAATCTGCAGTTCTTCGCTCTATTCGCGAAGGACTTGAAAGGTGCTGGAATGGAGGGTACAAAAAGATTGAGGTGGACTTTGCACTGTGCTAATAGTTTTAATCTTCTCAGTAGGGGACTCTTGTAGTGATCACCTGCTCTATAAGGTTATCTTGGACATCAAGAACTAATCTTCAGAGATTGGAATGACTCTTTCAATTATTCTTGTAATGATTCTAGCTTTTTTTGTTAATGATGTTATTAGGTTAGGTTTACTTAGTTTTGATTCTTTTGGAACTTTTTACTGTTAACCCACTCAAATTTCAGGGAGGATAGATCGTAAAAGGTGTTGATCCCAGTTGAGTTTGTATTTTTTTTTTTGGTACAGTTTTTATGGCATCAATAGATCTTCTTTTCATCCCAAAAAAGAAAAAAAAGTGGCCGATGAACTCAATAATGTCCGCTGGCTATCTTTAAGCTTTGCTGGCATAGAACATCATGATTTTGGGAGGTTTTTTGTGACTCTGATATAGTTGTGATAGACCATAATAGGAATCATCTTTTTCGGGGCTTTATTGGAGGAGCTACGAAAATTGTTGATAGAGATTTTTATATTACTATTAATTCACTATATAGAAAAGGTACTAAGTATGCTAATTCTAGTATACTGGAGTTAACTAATCAGATCAAAATTTGAATGTTTATTGAAAAATGTGTCCATGCTTAAAACCTACCTTAAATAGAAGGCAAATGTGCTTTTAAAAAAATACACTTACTTCAATTAGGCTTGCTCATAACATTGATTTTGATTATTATACCTTGTCATTTGATAGGTGCTATTGCTAAAAACTTATTGGCGGAAATTATTCGGAATGTTACACTTCCTAATTCGTACCAAATATGTTAGAGGAGTTATATTTTTGAAAGAGAGTGTTACACTTCCTAATTTGTACCAGATATGGTAGAGGAGTTATATTTTTGAAAGAGTTGATGATCAAACAATTATGAATTCTTAAGTCCTTTATCATAATTTTTTTTTAGAGTGTCAAAGTGAATTAGAGTTTAAGATATGCGTGGGCAAAAATGATAGTGCATTACTTGAAAGTAATTACAATGAGTGTGGTTTGATGATAGGAGAGAAAAGCAAAGTAATATACTTAGAAGGTCTAGATTAGAGATTAAGGGTCACATTGGGCAAATTTTAGTTGAGTTTACTTGATGCAATTGAGTTGTATAGAATATTGTACTTCTTCTTCCTTTTTTCTCTTTTTGCATGAGCACCTTGTGTCCTAGGCCTGCTCCACTCGAGTTGTGAGGACTTAATAAAGCTCAGATTAATTCAATTAGAGGGATAACCACAAGAGTGAACGGCCCTAGTCACTTACATTGTTACATTTTCAAAACTCAAACTCGAAACCTTTGTGATTAAATTAAAAATTGTAGAGATTTCTTTTGCATGAACACTTGATATCTTGAGCTTGTTTGACTCAAGAAGTGAGGATTTAATGAGACCCAAACTAATTCAAATTAAGCATGACAAGCATTACAAATGTAAATATCCCTTGTCACTTACACTGCTGCATTCTCAGAATTTGAATTTAAAACCTTTAATACCTTTAATTAAATTAAGTTAGAACAACTCTTATCAGTTGATCTTGTGTTTGAAGAGACTTGACTTCTATTTAGGCGACGATGCTCCCCTTTGAATTCAAAATTTACCCACCAAAGGGAACACCGCGCCAGCATGGGCGCGACTCCGCTCCATTGAAACGCAACGTTTTACTGATTCCCCAAAGGTCCTGCCTTCAAACGTTAATGGAACGGGCCCGTTGTGTAATTTCTTCAAGTTTAGTACTCTCGATTTTCAGCCCATAGTACGATTTCAGCCCAAATACCAAACAAAAGGTAATATCTTAGCGACAATTACATTGATATAATATCTTATTCCAATTTTAAATATAAAAATATTAAAAGGCTTAATAATTTCCGCGTAAAAATAAAAAACGAATGCACGCAATACATAATTACATTACAGTAATACAGTAAAACCTCAATTGTGTCCTTTCCTTTGTTTCATTAACTTAAGTACAAACCACATTCAGAACCTTGTTTAGGGAGGAAAAAAAGATAAATAAATAAAACTCCAACAATTAACAGACTTTATCAAATCTACAATCCAAAAAGTGAGATTAATAACTCCAGACATATATATATATATATATATATTCATCGAATAAAATACCACCATAGTTTAGTTTAATATTAATATATAGCGGCGAATCAACGAGGAAGATAGGGGCAAAAAAAAAAAAAAACATCACAACCAGATTTTCTGCACTTGGAAGTTGATATTTTCAGAGCTTAATTAATTAAACTTGCAAATCTAATTTAACAATATTTGAGAAAGAGTTGTCACTATTATTGTTCATTCAGCTGAGCCGCGGTGCCATGGACGACGCTACTCCGCCTGGCGTGGCTAGCATGTCCGGCGAGTCTCTCCGCCATGGGAACTGCACCTCCGCCGCAAACACAGCCTCCGCGTCTTCCTTTGTCACCGCTTTGTCTGTTGCCAGCTTTTCCGTCGCATCCTATGTTTCAAAATTGAATCAACTCACATGATAAAAAAATTTAAACATTGACAATTAAATATCAATATATTATATTAAATTAATAACAATTAAGTTTCTGATAAAATAATTTCAAAAGATAAATTACAATTCGAGAATCTTCATTATAAATAAGATATTGGAATTCTAAATGTAATTCTCAATTTAAAATTAAAATATATAATTATCAATACTTGCAACTTATTTAATTATTATTGATTTCGTCTTTTCTTTCTATCAAAATTTAAAAAGTCATTAAACATGAATAAATATATATATATAGATAGATAAATTATATAATGATTACAGATATGATAATAAGACAAATTATGATGATATCATATGTCTCAAGTGGAATTATATTGTTTTACCATTAAAACATCGGAAAGCTTTGTCATGTCTGCCCGGCTTCTGGCATGAGTGTTCATAGAGGCTGCATTCTGAGCCGTATCCGCCACACCGCCAGGGGCCACTTGGTTACTTCCAGTTGCTCTGATCTCCGCCGCCGTGATAGCAGCAGCATCGCTCTGATCCACCGGTTTATCTCCGGCAGAAATCGCCACCGCCTCGAGCGCCTCCCCAATAGTGATGGGGTCCCCATCTATGGCGGCCGACCCGATAGTAGAAGCCACGGTGGGGCCGTCCTGTTCAACTTGCTGCCCTAAAACCTGGCCG